TGCCACTGCATCAGATATAGATGTAAATACCTCTAATAAACACAGTAATTTACAGAGAGTGGATACAACTATGTCTGCTTTAGGGGTGTCTGTCATACCTTGTGTGGGGCTTTCAGAAGTCTGTGGACTCCAGCGATCTGATTGATGAGCGGAATATCCTCTCTGAATGTGAAATGTGGGGGTCTGGTCGGCTCAGGAAAATTTGTGCTATTAAATGGATCAGTATCATCTAAGAACTGCACCCTGCATGCGAACGTAGCCATGATACATCCATACAAGTCGATTTGGGAAAAGTCGGTACAACAACAAAAAAGTATATACCGACTAAAAAATCCTTTAGATCAGACGCAGTGTAAAAGTGTCAAGAATCCAGGTGCGCTCCGTCCTACTGCGATGTCCTCTGTTAGTGTTTAGTGGTTTCTATATTTCTACAGTAGTTTCTCGCAAGAGGAGGGCCGGTAATATCCAAGGGCATGTCGGGTAGGCAAGGTGCTGAGGCAGACTGCTGCAAACGGGACGGGACGGGACATCTACAGTCTGTCTGATGACTAGCGATGCAGTACGTGAACGGGATTGGGGGACTCCCTCCAGTCACAACAGTGAAGGTATGAGGGCAAGAGCCGGAGCTCTGGCGACACCCATTGGTGAAATTTATATCACAACTTGTTCATATAGGCTATTATGCATTCCTAGCATAACATTTTTTATAAGTAGCCTAATTACGGAAATAATAGACTTAAAAACATACTTAAGGACAAATGTATCCTAATGTTTCTAGACAAATGCATGTTATTAACAAATAAAAATGTATTATAGCTTACATTTAAATTTTTGCTATATTATCTGCAAGCATGCCTATATTTTTCCTAAAAAATTTACTTGTAGATAATTACAAGTGCACATCCAATATGATTAACAATAATAATAATAATAATAATAATAATAATTTCAGGACAAATGGCAACATAACTTTAAAAAGGTTATTATGGCAACCAAAACTTGGAATAAAATACTGTAGTTAGGCTACCCGTAGTCTGTGATTTGGCTGAAATACTGATATGGTTCGCATTTTAAAGTCACTTGCTTAAACTCTCACTTGAGCAAAATGGGACTGTGAATTTTGTTCGTGTTTTTATCTGAAGTCCCTTCGTTGTAAAAGCACATCAGCACTGTTAGAAGGCCTAAACATGAACTATGCTTAGTAGGAAAAAAAAAAGAATCTGTTTCAGTGTCAGACGCAACTTTTAGACTGCATCCCTGGTTGGGTGGACATGCATTTTCCATCACGCATAAACATGTCTCTGCAAGACATCAATCCATAGGTGGAGTTTAGGGGGTGCTGGGGCTTGGGTGGGTGCCCCCCAAAGCATAAAAGTGAAACTGTGCCTATGCATCAATCTCTTCCTATACGCAAATATAACAGAGTTCACCCCTATGATGACGCTAATAACAGGCAGCGAGATATTCAGTGAGTGCTCTTTTCTTCCCATATTTTATTTATTGTTTGACTATAACAGCAGCTGTTTTTTCTTTGCAAAGCAGATTGTGTTTATTTACAAAACGCTGGATTTGTTTGATTAATATTGGCACAAAATTCACTCCATAACCTGCTCATTAGTTTTAAAGTGGTTATTGTGTTACCGCTAGCTATCGCTAGGGGGCAGTGTAAACGAACAGAAATATTGAAAACAGATATACTGACAGAATAATATAATAACTCTCAATGTAACACTCAAAAGTCGTAGTACACGTATCTTATCTAAATTAACTGCATGTAGTTTTCAATTTTTGCACATTCACCTAAATTCCATTTCTGTTCATAAAGTGCCTGTGAAACATGTTTAGTTTCAGTTGTTTAATTTTTTATGTTAAAACAAATATTTACACGGTAAGACATTTGTTAGAAATAAAAGCAGCTGAAAGTGAGAGGAGGTTTCTTTATATAGGCCTACATATTAAACATATACATATACAGTATATATACATATATTTATCCACATTCTCTCTAGTCTCTCTAGATAACTTTATTATGCACTGCAATTATGTTGTCTGCTGCTTTAAATGTTTAAAGCTAAGTGGGCATATACATATACAGTATATATACATATATTTATCCACAAAGTCACTCTTCTCTCTAGATAACTTTATTATGCACTGCAATTATGTTGTCTGCTGCTTTAAATGTTTAAGTTTTTTAAAGCTAAGTGGATTCTGATTGGCTGTCAATGTTTTTATCGCTCACCAGCTGAAAAAAAAAAGTTTTAAAAGTGATTCCAATAATATCGTTCCTGTGTCAATATTGTTATAGTTGCGGTGTGGACGTTGCTATTCTCGAAGAATTAGAATAAATACTAAAACTTTATAGTTATCATTATAGTAGTTATCGCCGTTGGTGTGAACAGACCTTAAACGATAATTATAACAATAACTGTAACAATAACTATATAAGCATCTACACCAAAAGATGATAACATTCTGTTCATTATAAGCACGCACTACAGTTTTGTCGTCTGGTGCTTTAAATTTTCAAGCTCTTTAAATTCAGGTTGATTCTGATTGGCTGTCAATGGTTTTATTGTTCATCCACTGGGAAAAAAGTTCTATAAAAGTACATTTACAGTACATTAGCAATATTTTAACTAAATTTCGTTAAGTTCCTTTGTCTATTATCAATAGTTTAGCAATGTATGAATAAGTCACTTTCAAACAAAGCAGGTTTCTGTTGGTCGGCAAGGCAAATTCAAGTGAACATGAGCGAAATCTACTCCAGATTGTGTGAATTCGTATCGAAATGATTGAATTTTGTCTGCAAAATTTCACAGAACCATGGTAAGTGTGACCAAACCTTAAGTGATTACAACAATTTCGTTCCTCTGTGTTGTTATCCTTGTGGACTCCACTGTTTTCATAGTATTAGAACGATCAATAAAACTTTATAGTTATAGCTGTCGTTATCGTCCTTGATGTGAATGGACCTTTATCGAGGAACAGTCACAGCAAGCTGGCCTATAAATTGGCCTGAACATGCCATAACTGGCCACAAAAGGGCACGTTCCCAGAAGATAGTCTGCAATTAAAACCAGAACGGTTTGTACCCAGTCGCTAATCCATCTGGGTGGCGTCTTTGGCTCAGTTCAAAACCCACAATGTTTTGTTAATGTTCTCCTGGTTGTCAAATACCGGCAGGAACAGAGTGGGAGAGAGATAGAAGAAACATTCTGTTCACATCAATTATGATTTTCAATTGTGCAAAGCCGAGAGACAGAAGATGGGTGGGTTTTTTTCTCACATGTGCTCACGTTTTCAGGGGAGGAGGACTATGACTCATTGGCTCCAGGCACTGAATCTTTGTCTGTACTCCAACCAGAGATCCCACCCCCCAGAGAGAGACAGAGTGACTGTGAGTCCTTATTTGCTCTTTACCGTCACAGCCACCAACTTGCTCACCACACTACGGCATGAGCGTGAAAATACCAGTGGACGCAGACCACCAGGAATGTCATTTTCCTCACATTCGTGCTGTTTGAAAGGACCAAAGTCCCCCGAATAATGCGTGATGGAATACTGCCACACAACCTCACCTGCTGTGGGGCTTTTAGAGAAACAACATTTTAGAGTACAACATTCTTAACACAGCAAGTGAACTACTTTGGAATGTTTTTCCACCCTGCCCCCCTCACCATGGAAACTCCACCGGCTATGCAAGAACAGCGCGAGCGCAAAGGCATCACGTGTGCAACCCAACACGAAATAGAATGCGGTGTCTTATCACGTTCAGTCTCATTCATTCATTCGACTTGGTCCACGTACGACCAGCTGTGCACACTGCAGTCGGTCAGGGGCAGGTAAGGATAAGCCCCGCTATGGGGCTCCTGGGTATCCAGAATCCAGTGATACAGAGAGCGACAGCAGCAATGTACACACTGAATCGCTCCTTAGACATATGTGTCACTGGCTTGTAGTACATGCAAATGTTTCCACTGGTCTGTTTACAGTTGCGAAACAATCAATAGACCTAAATATGGGCTAGAAGTCGTAAATGCCCAGTCCATAGGTCACTATCATGAAAAACATCAAAATCCAATAAATAAATAACTATATTTGTAAATGGAAATGAAGGCTATTTAAGGAACAATGTATATATATATATATATATATATATATATATATAAATATATATATATTTGACAGTTACGGTACACCTTCATCCCCAAATTGTCATGAAATTACTTGATTTTTTTTGTAATTCTCATTTCCATAATTCAAATGATGTATAAAAATAAAAAATTTACATATTTAAGTATAACATATATAACATCTAAAAAACATTATGTGTGTGTGTGTATAGGCTAGTCTCACCACTTTCTGTTTTTATAACTAGTTAGTGTGAGAATTATCAGAGGCATCAACTATTTAAATGTTTAATGTCTCCTAAATTATTAAATTTAAATGCATGGGCAATTTCGTCACGCAATCTGTCAAGGTTCATTTGAATTAGCTGCCAGTTTTAGCGCAGTTAGCAAAACATCGATATTCTAAAAGATATGCAACAACACCAACATTTTTATGATGTTACTAGAGATATGTAAATGTATAATAAAGTAAACTTTTTCCAACATAGGCTACTTCATGAAACAGAGCTGTTGTTGTGATTACCCATTCTGGCTCATATAATTTCTGCTAGCGTCTATTTGTAGACGCTACAGGTGAAAAATATGCCCTCAAACCTGTACGAAACCTTTGAAAACCCTGTTGAAGCAATTGTACGTGTAAAAATATATGAACTTGTACTTCCTTTGAGGCGGGGGGGCGACCCCTTGAATTAGGGGGGTCAGACCCTCCCAAACTCCCCCTTTATTCACGCCAGGGCTGCAGCATATACGCTAATCAAACGTCTTACATTTTAAAAGCGACCTAACCGTAATATACGAGAGGGAGGTGCATCTGTGGCGTCATCCCATCCAAGCTAATGAGGTATAAAACAAAGTAAGTAACTGTGAATAACAAAAAAAAAAGCGCTCGGAGTTTGACATTCTGTCCGCCTGTTGGAATGAAACCGATCCGCGTGTCCACGTGTTTTGTCAATTTGCATATCATTTTAATATGTAAGCTCGTCTCCCCTATCAGCCGAAGCTTGCTTCCAACGCAAACTCTATTTGTCAGATACGGGTCTGGACGCACAAATCGGAAAGCTCGGCGTTTTTGCACCCGCCCTCTCAGACACGTTGCGTTGGGAGAAGTAACACGGGGCCACACAACTGCAGGTCTACATCACTGAAACCACGCACAGCTCTCAACAGAGACTCGACAGGCGCTCCAGTTGTGTTTGGATGTACTGCTGAAACAAAGGACAGTGTGCGACCATTCGTCCCATCCGGCTTGAGGTAGGATTCGCGTTTTAAATACCGGCGATCGCTTCTGAATTTGTGTTTTTGTGGAGTAAATGACACACACATATAGGAAAACCGCTGCGTTTATATAAAGTTCAATGTATTTGTATGTAAGACATGTTAAGACGCCGCTGCGTGAAAAGAGGCATCCGCCTATAGCAAAACGGAGAAAATTGTTCTTTTATTTTATTCTAATCTAAATATAATTTTTAATACTCATTAACGTATTTATAGCATTAAATTTAGCCAATATGATAGCATGATTCGGTCTATTGTGTTTTTAGAAATAGTTTTTGGCTTTGTTCGTATCCGCTCCGTATTCGTTTTAATACAAATTCTGTAATATGTTTAAAAAAGCCAAAATTGCGGTGGTCTTGTCTTGGAAGGGTGTATTAAGGTGTTAGTCATCATCAGGGCCCCACCCTCAGTTATCAGACAGGTACATTAATTCATAAGGCTTTTGTTTTCTTTCACAATGTTTTAATATTAATATACGTGTTGCCCATAGCAACCGAAATTACTGGCAGGCGTACAAGAAACACGTCTCGTTTACATGACTTCCTACATTTGTAGTCGCGCTAAATGTCGCTATTAAATAATAGTCACAGGCCCGCTTTGTCTACGTTTGGTAGCTAAACGTAAACATAAGCTTTCGATGATTTTCTTTGTTTTGGCAATTTACCGGTAAGCACAAACTAATAAAGGGCCTTTTCATCCGCGTCCCCGGCTGTCGACAACCCTTGTAAAAGTATCCCATGTAGGCAGTTTTTCGATATGAAAGAGGAGTTTGTTCGCTAACGGCAGTCGTTTTGTTTGATTAAACTTTTTGGTGAAACTGGTATTGACAAGAAAATGCTGGTCAGCAGTTATGTCCATTTGGAAAGGATGATCTTTGTGACCGTTATAAAGCCAATTAGTCGCGTGCTTGAGGTAGAGCTATTACATAGGCTAATGTGGCTTTATTGGCAGGGCAGAACTCTGGCTCAGCAGTCCATTTGTTTGCAATGATTCCGAGCAGCTGATGGACTGATTCCCGAAGTGATGTGAAAGTATATACACTGCTGATGTATATAGTGTTACATATACAGTTTATGTAGTGCATTGTACATTTATCTATAACTATATATTTAGGTTTAATGCAATGTCTGTATACAAAACATCTCTTTGTGCTGTACAATGACAATGAAGGAATTGATATAGTTTTAAGTACTTGTATTATATGTTGAGTTATGGTCAGTTATATAAAACTTATTCAGTGTTACTATTTTTAGTATTTAAAAAAATTAATAATTTAGATGTTACAACATGAAGCACATTTTAGGTCACCTGACAATACAGTTTATATATATATATATATATATATATATATGTTTATTATTCATTTAGTCATAAGTATGTAATTTTACGAATGTGCATCATGTACACATTCTGTTGATTCATAAGAAGCCTTCCACTTTAAATACATGAGTGGTCAGAACCCTTAGAGAAAGCACAAAGCATTTGCTTCTGTACAACATGTGCCTTTTGCAAAGATTCATGGCTTGCCTCATTAAACATGATGACTAAACACTCCTTTTATGTATATTCCTCAAGGCCTGTCTATTATGAATTACAAAGAACTGATGGAATTGATAATACAAAAAAAAAATTTTTTTACTGGCAATATGCAAGGCCTCAGATCTGGTACCAGCTGTGTGTTCGTGGACTATTTTCAAATCACCCTCTTTTAAAAGCAAGCCCACAAAATAATTTACTTTTACATTTAGGTAATGCATGAGTCTTCGCAATTTATTAATAAAAGACCACAGAAGGAATGGCACTATTAAAACAGCTTATTTCTAGGTCCTTTGTTCCATGTCAAATGGTGGTCACCATGGTTGCGGTGTTCTGGTGTCATTAAACAAATAGGGCTTTTTGTTTATTTATTTTTTTTGTCACCTGTTTTTTTTTTTTTTTGTCACAGCCTTCTAGTCCTGTAAGGCTACATTCTCAAGTGTTTTGTAATTAGGTGCAATCAGATCAAACAAATGCATGTGCTGTACAGGACACACATTTGTTCCAAATAGACTGCAGAAAAAAAAAATCTTATTTCAAACATCTTAGCTTTGAATAAATAAAGACAGTCTCCCCCTGTTGCGACAATATTATTTATAAGGTTAATTAAGGTTAAGGTCAAAAGCATGTATACGTGTTAACATATATTATTCTTTTTAGATTTGGTTTTGGTTCTGTTAATGCACAGACGTAGTTGTGTTGTCGTTGAAAACATAAGAATGAATCATAAATGTCAGTTTCATGAGTTCTCTGCACTGTTTGTGAAACAGCAGTACGTCTTTTATGGCCGCTGTTTATCTTTAGTGTTTGTGTGAGTCTCATGTGGTCTGTCTGGAAAACACGCTGGTCTGAGCCTACATGAATTCAGAATCCCAAAGGGTTTGATTGGAGATGTGTGCTTAAGTTGTCATTTTGGACCGCTGGTATCTGCAAGACTATGAACCTCGCAAATGGGTCTGAAACAGATGGTTGAGTTTGTGCTTTTATGTTCATGCCAAACCAATACAGTGAAAGAGAGAACATTCTTTATCCATTAGACAATTTCACACCAGCTCAGGTTGTATTGTGTAATGGTGTTTGTTATTAACGTTTATGGAAATTGGATATTAAAGTACTCCCTGTTTCCCCCACAGGTCAGTGATGGTCCGTGCTGGTTAGATCCTGCTTCCTAAGATGTCAGCTTCAGATTCGGAATATTCCATTGACTGGCTGGCCAGTGATGATGAGGACAGTGATAGTGAGTTAGAACCAGACTGTACCAAAGTGCAGGGACAAACCACCTTGCCAAAATCCCCCTCCTCAAGGGTCATCCAGGGGGCCCAGACTTGCCAGTCGTTCTCAAAGAGGAATGGAGATAAAGGGGAGGTAATGGACAAAGAGAACATGAGCTCTCGGGGAAGTTCTCCTTCCAGCTGCGATAGTACCGACTACAGCGAGGACGGTGGCCATTCTCACCTGGGACAAGAGACTCGGACCAATTACAGCCGGTGCCCTGAAAGCCCTGTAGGCAAAAAGAGGCAGACGCTAAAGAGAACAAGGAGCTCCATGGTGCCAGAGCAAAGGGAGAGGCAGCTCACACCTGAACAAATGGAGAAAGACAGGCTGTTCGCATGCAAGGTGAGATGTGCCACTTTTTTTTAATCGTCGGCATGCCAGGGAAGGGGCATGGTGTTCTGAAAAGCACCCTTATCTACTACATGATCTATCTCCACCCGAGCAGAATAAATAATAAAAAAATACTCAAAGCAGAACCACTTCCAGGAAGACCCCTCCTCTATGTGTTTTTACTAGGTGAAATGTGAATGAGTCACACGAGGCCACTGAATGAAGAAACTCGGATGTTTTCCTCTACCTTGTAGAATTGCAATGATAACTCATTCCATTCCATTTGCTCAAATGTGTGAGAGAGTAGAGGAGTCATTTTATTTTGTATCACAGTGTAATTGTTCTTCTGGAAATGATGAGCCGTACAAAGGAATGTCCTAATGTGATATTTTTTTGTTTATGGTAACCGACAAAGTGTACTGTCAACATCCTGAAATGAAAACATCAGAACTCTAGAAACTATTTGAGAAATGCAAAATGTGAAAAGCTAATCATTAAATAACTGACAAAAGAAGGAAATACTGAATGATGCTCTTTGTTTGCAGTGCTTGGAGCTGCAGTGTTACATTCACCCACTGTCCTCAATCCTTAATGGCCTCCGCTCTGGCAGATACAGAGAACGTGAGTAATCCTTCATTCGTTTGTATTAGTCTTCTGCATATGCCTTGATCCAAAACCTTGCCTAGTTAGATCAGTGTACAAGGAGAACAACCAAACTAGAGGCAGCAGGCCATAGTATGAGAAGTGTGTCATGAGATTTGGGACTGAGATGTGTCATGAATAAACATGAAATGAGGTTCTCGTATCATTTCCTGGTGGCACATTTTACCTCGCTTAGTCATAATAAAATGTGTATGGTTGAAAGATACAAGTCTTAAACCGCACAGCTCCAAAAATACCCAAGGACCTCGATTGAAATACCAAAGGCACTATAGAGATAAGCTCAAGGGTTTGGGTTGGCTGTCTCCTTTGTGTCCTTGACTAGTGGGATAAAATATTCTAACATTTTATGTGGCTATTATTACAAATAATTACTGTAAAATCTGCACCGTCACACTGTGTCCAAACCAGATGACAAAGTGTGATTAAAAGCTGTCGGTTTTTGCTTTAACTAGTCAAGTGACACTGTTTTGTAGGTTGCTTCATTTCCTATTTTTGTATTTTTGTAGCACTGCCCACACTCCTCATGCATATTAAACATCAAACCTAGACCAAGAGATACTAATTGTAGAAGTTAAGAAACATCTCAAGGTTCCCTCAAGTCAAATGTAAAACTGTGAAAGTGATGCCATCTGGAAAAGCGTGGTATTACTGTTATTAGTTTTACGCATGCTAACAGAGAACCGCCCACACAATATTCTGGTTGACTGACTGTTACAATGCACAGCGTTTTTACTTTCAGTGGGGCAGAAAAATAACTTGTTACTGAAATCTTGATGCATAGTGGCTGGTTGGGACACAAATTACTGTAAAACACTAACAGATGTTATTAGCAATATTGGGTACTTAAACATTTTATTGGCTAGAACCCCACATGTGCTAGAAAACAGGTTGCATACCAGGCAGACCTGCTTATAGGGGCTCTGCCTGGGGCCACTGTCAATGCAGGGTCTCTGGGCGACACTGGACTTCCTGGCCACAGAGACTGCAAGTCTATCCTCCCACGGGCTTCACAAGAACCCATCTGCCTTGCAGACGTAGCACGGCCTGTCAGAGGCAATAAGCTGGCATTGCTTGTAAAAGGAAGAGTTTAAGCTGTATCTTCTTCTTTTCAGGCCTCAGCACTTTCCAAGAGAGTGTGGCCATGGACCGCATCCAGAGGATAATGGGAGTCCTGCAGAATCCCTGCATGGGGTGAGTTTCCTGCTGTTTCTCCTCACCTCACTCTTGGGCGGCTTGAGGGTGGGCTTTAGTCCGCACAGCACTCCATCACGGATCGATCGAATAGATGTTGTGTCCATTTACTTAATCTACCTCAATCCACTTTCAACTTGTTGCGAGGGAATCTTGTTTCAGTGCTTTGTGTTTACACACATTAGTGGCAAAGTTGAATTCTCCCACATCACTTGCGAATGACTTCTATGCCCTCTGGTCTGGCTCTGAGGCTATAAGTGAACGAGTCAAGGAAATGTGAAAACACATGGCCTCACAGCATGATGCTTGGTCCAGAGCAGCAAGGGGGGCCACAGGGCCAGTGTGGACCTGCCGCCACTAATCAAAACAAGAATAGAACTCAAAAGCAAGTTGTTAAAAATGTCCCAGTTCCCTTGAGGGAGTAGCCTGTCATTCGATTGATTAGTCTTTCTCTAGCTAGACAGTGCAAAGTCTATGATGTCGTCTTTGGGAGGAGTCAGTGCTTCTCTGGCATCAAATGACCTCATAATGATCAGGCTGGGCTTAGGTGCGTCGTTTACGTTTCATCTTAACTGCATCTGGCATGCAGCCCAGGTCTTCTGTCATTGTATTGCATTGTGCTACTTCACATGTGAATATTGGACTTTGTGAGTGCAGAGTCTAAAACATCTAGTCCGTTGGTGTACTTTGGGCCACATCCAGCAGTGTTGCAACCTGCGTGGCATGAAAACACGCCTGGCAGAAAATACGCCTGAAACGTGCCACTAAAAACAAAGATGATGGGGGTTTTGGGTGGGGTCTTAATTCAGGTCATCTGATTGAGGCTCTGAGCCAAGTCATATTCAAGCAGACACAGGCACCAAAGCGGGGGCGTGGATGCCTCCCCACCACCTGACCCCAGTCTACATTTACCCATTCCATCATGCCAGTTGGCAAATCCCCCAATGCAAAGGCACACCAGAAGAGGGAATATAAAAACTAACTTTTATGGCAGCAGCAGTTTAAATTTAAAATACTGAGAATGGGGCCACTGCAGATTCTTTGGTCATGTGACTTGCACTAATCCCCATTAACCATCTGTCGGGGGCTGGTGTGAGTCAATGGGCACCATGTGCATGTGTCTGCATCACTGCTCCTTAGCGCAACTATTTCTTTTCCCCGTGACGTGGACGCCAGTGCCCTGCTGCAGGCTAATGTCTATATTTAGAGGCTAGAGAAATGGTTGCACGCCATGCCACGTGTGTGTGTACAAACATGTGTGAATCAACACAGGAGCTGTTCTCATTTCGAGAAACACGTTTATGTGTCTGTGTATGCTTGATGCAGCGTACTTGCGGTTAAGTGTCCTTTCAACTCGCCTGACACCAAACGAGGTGTTACAGAACAGTAGATTTTCACTTTCGGTTACGTGAAGTCTCAAAGCTGGTTTTTTTTAGTACATCAGTGGGTTACCAGACTCTTAAATATTGTCCTTCCTGTGCCATGCAGAGAGAGGTATGTCAACATCATTCTGAAAATGGAGGAAATGTTGAAGAACTGGTTCCCTCACATAAAACATCAACGAAGCGACCAAGCCAACACTGCAGCACTGATGGAGGAGACGACCCTGTCTAAGAAACCCAAGGTAAGGCACTTGAAGAACTGTCACGAACATGTGTAACTTAAAACCGACAGGCTGATAGAAAAGGAGAGACTGAAATACCCATTATACTTTGATCACTGGACCAGAGAGGAACAGGACAGACAAGAAGGGATTAAAATCTATATGTACAGTTGTACACATCTCATGTTCGCTAAGAACAATGACAGGAAAGAACAGGTAGTTTTAGAAAGCTTTCACAGGACAGACAAAAGTCAGCAAAGTTAAAGGACATGTTTAGGCTAAGAACTTGGAACATGCAATTTAAATGAGATTTTTAAAAAGATTTTTCAGCCTCTTTTAAAATGTTTGCGTTGAAATCTCAAGTAATTCTCCCTCTTTCAATACTTCACAGTTGTCTCCATCTACATCTCCCCTGCTCACTGGCATTGCAAACCCTGCCACCACAAGTGCCCTTTTTATGGGTAACAAAGCAATGAGAGTCAGCGACCTCACTCCCCCAGGGCCCTACTCTGCAACCAACCTAAAATGGCTCCACACATCACCCATCTGCTCCCTGACAGCTGAACAAGCTCTGGGGACAGTTCGGAACTTTCTAATAGCCCACAGGGACAGGGACACAACACAGGACAACTCCGTGTCCTCCAGCACGGACCATCTGTGTAAGACAGAGTCTGCTCCCAGTCGACCACGTCCAGCCAAGATTAACGCGCCATGCCTTGAGAGACTTCTTAAATCCACAGAGAGTATCATCACCCAGAAAGGCCCAGTGGGCTTGGGTGGCATGGCAGCCGGTGGATGGTCCTAGTCCTTCGAAAAGGCTCTGTGAGATCAGAGCCTAGCTAGAGCGTGACTGCCCCCAGCTGGTCTGGAGTCACCTGACTCCAGCGCAATCCCTGCCTCCATTCTAGCCTTGCAGAGAGGCACAGAACCGCAGCAGAGGGAGTTCAGCGCAGCCCAGCAAAACAGAGACGCATTCAGTTACGAACTGAAAAGTGTTGGAGTGTGATCTTTGTGCGTGTCTGATTTGTACGTCAGCATCTATTCCCTTTCTGTTGAACTGGGGGGGGGGGGTGTTTAGAAAGGTTTTGTGATCTTGGCTCATTTTCATACTTTAATTTTTGAGATGGTTTCCTCTTGAAACAAAGAAAGAGGAAAAATCTCCTGTGGTGGCAGCATCCGATGAGGCAGCATATTGGTATCTGTGAAAAAGCTAATCTCTAGACAAAATAATGCAGCCTTTATTTCCAGAAAGGGAAGGGAAAAGAGGGAGGCATTTATTCTGGGAACACTTCAGATATTCCAGTGTGTTAGTGATCTCTATTGTAGGCGTGGTTGAATGTGAATTTAATGCTTTAGTTTGCTCTTTAAATCCACTCTATAGAGTTGATTTGATGTGACTGTTACTTCATAGGTTTAAACTTCTAGCTACATTTTTTTGGTACAACGGTTCTACCTCTATCTGACACCGCGTCTCCGGAAGTGTATGGATACTACAAGTACGTACACGCAAGTAGACTCAGAGCGAGGAAACTTCATAAAGCGCATCAATACAGTGAGCAAAACACGCCGAACTAACACGGGTGGGAGGCTTGACTGGTGCCATTGTAAAGAATGTGAACTGCAAATTTTCATTTTTTTTTTATTTTTTAAGACACTCAGTTCAAGGGCATATAGTGCCTGTCAATTCGATGTCAAACTGTGCCTCTTCACTGGTTTTGAAGGGAAAGCGTGAACTATCCAGAATACGTGACGCCTCTGAAGGATGTAAAAAAGAAAATCAGGAACCTTCAAAACTCATGCCATTCATTTTCTGCTATCAAGTAAATTATTTGAAACTCTTGCCAACTACTTCCTGTGGTCATGTGACACAATGACGTTTCAGTTTGCCACAGAGCTGGACAAAATCTAAGAGGGAAAAGGTATTAACTGTGTACATATTTGGAAAAGTTGTTAATTTACCCTTGCAAAGTGGCCTTTATAGTGTAATATTTTATACTTTCAGAAATAAATGTGGTTATTTGTTTGCTGTATTCCATTTGTCTCAAAGCATTTTGTGTTTCAACTGATCACATACAAATAGTGGACTGTTAAGGAGTTTTTAATGGACAGTCTAGACAGCAGCGTAGCCAAAATAATGCAGAATGTAGAATATTTATAATATATTTGGGTTTTAGAAATTAATATATACTAAAGTTTTTTGTTTTTTTTTAAAGCTAAAAAAAGTATATATATAATTATTAAATTAAATCAATGGCATAACTGAATGCTAAGCAAGTCTGACAAATATTTCACAAGCATTTCCTTCAGTTCAGTCAAAACAATAACCTTACGCCACATCTAATTTGGCAGCCCTTGTGTGCATTATTTTCAGTAAGGCTTTGATATTGCACCAGGAGACAGCTGATCACAGACCTTTTTGTTTGCTACACTCATTGACATTCTGATATGAAGATGTCTATTCAAACATCAAAGCCTTCAAGTCACTCTAAAAACAACCCTCCCAAACAAGGCTAACATATGAAGCAGATCTGAAATATAGCTTTTGCTAAATCATAACTTGACCTTAAAAACTGAATCTATTATCGGTCAGAGAATATTGAATAATACAGGATTGGTCTCGGGTGATTAACTGCTCTACAGTTTCTGGGAAGGAGAGAATAAAATAAAAAGAATTAGAGCCACAGCGCTTAATAAAAGCCACATCTTCTGGAGAATAGAAAAGCAAATATTTTTCTGGACCGTGAGTAATTCAGATGTCCTCCTCCTTGATCCCACTTCTTTCCAATTCCCTGCTATGCAGAAAATCAAAGTCGGACACTTATACAATCAGCCAGGCGCATTGAGCAATGCCACTCTCATTTCTCATTATAGGTACTGGGAAGAGGGTTCATTTTGGTATAAAGTCCACTGAACATTTGTAAAGAGAAGTGCAAATGTTCTGTGAGCAAATTAACAAATCACACTTCTCTTTTACTAAGAAGACTGAGTGGAAGTTACCCAAATAGCGATGACCCTAGCCATTTTAACTGCAAAGATGTGATTCATGTTCCAGTAAGGTCATGTAGTGGTAAACTCCAAAATTAGCCGCAAGATTTGAGGTATTATTCATGTTCGTAGAAAAACAGTGCTACTAACACACAGGTAGGTATAGTCTTATTATCTGGTCTTATCCTGCAATAGTCTATGAGGATGACAGAAACTGTCTATGGGGATTCATCCGTACCACCACGACAAATCACTTCCTCTTGGCAAGGACTATAACTGTGGGCTGCTTTATCTGTGCTAGCCAACATTTTTTTGCCAACCCCGATGCATTTTTCTGATTACTTGCTATTATTTAGTACTATTTATTATTATTAGTATTACTACTACTATTACTGATTAAATGAGTGTGCTGCATGTTCAGTGTCATAACAAGCTGTTTATAGCATCTTCAGAGACTTTCGAGGAAGTCAGATTTAGTTATTGAGATGCACCTGTATATGTGTATATATATATATATATATATGTTAAAAGTCTTAATCTAATGGTACAATGTTTGTCTAGCATGAGGACCAGGGTTCAAATCTATTTTTGTCATACAGGCGTCGTTTGTGAATGGGCATAATGCTTCTGAGAATAAATATTGGCTCACAAACTTCTGGGGTGTTTTGTGCATGCTGAGTGCGGAAAGACTATGTTCCACCAGGGTAAGATTAATTTCAAGGATTTTAATAAAACACGGAAATTAATTAAACTGGCACGCTTTCCCAGTTCTTGAGGATTTACCATTTGTACTCTGAGGAGATTTTGGTGGACTGGTATCAAATGCTAACTGACAAAGCTAAGGTCTTGGTCATTAAAATGGATCAAAACTGTAAAAGGCCACTACTGTTTGACTGTTAGGCTCAGTGGTATCACAGTGGTCACAAGATGTCGAGCCCAGATTAACTGTGGGAGGTGGGGAGGTCTGGTCCAGCCCAGATGGATTCAGTTTCTGTCACGTGAGGGATGTGGTCTCGTTCTCTTTTGCCATTTCCATACACATTTAGTCCAAACTAAGTTAAAAGGGGGAAGTTCATTTAAATAGGAGGAAGAATGACATGCTCAGGTTCAGAGGTTTGCATAAACTGAGCATTGTAAATCAACTGATGACGGCAGTTGGCAGAAAGAAAAAAACACTTAATTCTGAGAGACAACAGAATTTTCAGGAGAAAGGTCAGTTGAAATTGCTCATTTGATATTCACTTCACCACAACAACACCAATAAATGGATGGAACTTCAGTAAAGGTCACTGCACCTCTGAAGTCCGAAATACAGATTCTATACAAGTCAAGATAAACACATTATCTGAGCGCCAGAGAAATCATAAGGTAAAACAAGGCAAGTTCACTTGTGTCTTTTGTGCCTTGTTTTTTGTTAAAAGTCTTAGAATAGATTCCCTCTGCTATTTAACAACAGTGCGGCTCATTGGCTTTAGCCACTCATCCATTTAAATAACTCCAGTTGCATTTATATTTCAGCAGGGGAGACAGGAAAAGCTCTACTCATTCATAAGAATATGTGAAAGTCATCATTTAACAGAATCAAAGCCAAAAGTAACACTAAAATTGATACTCTGACTTCAGAAAGACCACAGGACTTAAAGTCAAGAAGGTTTTATGCCAGAGAAGGACAAGCCCAATGCTCATATATCAATCCACATCAAAGAAAAATGCAGTGTGATGGTTTATACCATGTGTAGGGTGGTGAGGATTTACTGCTATAGTATTTATGCTGCGGTTGATTCATTTTGTTGGCTATTAGTGAGCAGGACTATGGGCACTCACTGTTTTCATGTGTTTTTTATGTTGAATTTCCAGCAAATTCACGATATATACCATTATACCATTTGTGATGGAAAGATTGAGGTCATCTTGCTTGCCCACTGTTAATGATTACTGACTATATAAGTGACCCTATAACTTACATTGATAATAAAAAACCCTCAGCTAATTATACTAAAACATTCTTTGAATGTCATTTGCTAATAGAAAATACCCAGTGAACCCATGTGTCCTTTCTGAACATCAGCCTTTCTTTGAATAATAACACCTATTTGTCCTCATATCTGTGGGGCGAGAAGCATTGTGCCCACGCACTTAGAAAATTGCTCATTAACTTGTTAAGTAATTCAACAGGTAAGTCATCCCCACCACAGAGATAATGATCTCATTTGTCACAGAGGGGCACTAAATAACTGAACCATCAGATACAAAAATAACCATCGCCATTGCAATGATCACACCTTGCCATCAGAACATTGTAACTGCTCCCTATTTCTTTTTTATATGATTCCTGCTACTGTTACCTGCACAGCAGTACCTGATGTTCCTTTAAACTCGAAAAAACACAATGCACCGTGTTAATATGATGGGATTTTTTCGTATTGATTTTGCACAGGTGTTTCACCTGTATTTTGAATTATGCATTGCATAATGTTGTGTTTTAGGGTTTAAAGAAATGTTTATAAATGTAAAGGTCAATGTCCTTGCAGAAAATAACCTTTAACATTTTTCAACTTCTGTATTTTTTTTCCTTACAGTGAAGTTTTGTTAAAGTACATACATGTATAAAAGTATTTTAATAGCTTTTATTAATTAGCCTTTTGTTTTTTTTTTATATTAATATTCCAAACTTTTTATTTAATTCAATATAAACATTTAATGCATTTAAACAACACAATTTTAATTGTGTTTAATTTTAATAAATCAAATTTAATGAAATGTTATTTGAATAATATATTTATTAATTCATTTAATGATGTTGACATTTTCTGAAGAAATGTGAGTCATGCTTGCCTGACTCACCTTTTAATAAATTTATATGTATGAGCCACAGTAATTGAAAGTGTGACTAATAACAGTCATTTTTGAATGCTGCATTTTAATTATAGTTTGTAAAAATCAGTGGTATATTACACCAACACTGACTAAATTGCTATGGACGTTGTGTTGATAATAATTACCTATAATGTTATCTAATAGGCACTTTAGTACATTCATTATAGGTCAATATTATCATAAAGGTAGAAG